GTTATCTTGATGACAAGAAAAAACACAAGAAACAAAGGTCAACTGCAGTGACATAGAAACCCTCACGGGGCCCATCTTTGAACTTGACCTCGGCATTTTCAACGGTAACTTGCCCACTAAAAATAATGAACATCCATTTAAGGATTCTCGAGATATCTTGATGACAAGGAAAAAACACCAAAAACCAAGGTCAACTACAGTGACTTAGGAACCCCCCACGAAGCCCATTTTTAGCCTTGACAATGGCCACCCCTAAATCAACCTGCCTGCCAAAAATCGTGAACCTCGGACCTTGCCTTCAAGAGTTATCGTGCCTAATCTGCCAAACAGTGCAAACCCGATTTCATAACCTTCTCCGAAGGCATAGCCTTCAGTCGAAGGCAACAAGAGTTACACGACCTCATACATGTACCTTCGCCAATCTTCATGTTAAGCGTTCAAACTGACATTTTCAAGGTGATCATACAAATTATAAGAGCCTCGGCTGAAAATTATATCAATTGATCATATTCTCCACCAAATGACGGTCTTATCTTTAGAAATAAGACTATTCTAGCATTTCCTCATAAATTATGCAAAATAATGTCCCGATTTGAATATATTATGTCTAGTTAAGTTCAGATTCACTGAACTTCCAAGTATGTCAAATATAAAGTTCCCAACAGTTACCACTATAAAACTGTACCAATTTCAGATAAACTATGCAATCAATATCTGCGAATCTTCCTGCCGTTCTCATTACATAAAAGTGTTTCATAGCCCTAATATCGAACACAGCAGATTGATAGAATTTCTTCATTAATTATTTCTTCATTAAATATTTCTTCCTAAATTAGATGCGTCACCCGGTTTTTATTTATCCTCTCTTGAAGTTTTTTTTTTAACAAACCGTCCTGCAGTTCCAAATATCAACACCGGAAGTTCCGCTGCAGTACCTATCTAGGGCCACTAGGGGGCCCAAAGTCTCATTTCCAGTTTTCATCACATTCTACCAGCTCACTAAGAATGAAACCAACCAGCCGTTCTTGAGTTATCTTGTTGACCGATGACTGAGGGCGTATAGATACGGAACCACCCAAGGCGGTTTACATGTGGTTTACCCCGAAGCCGGTTTCAAGTGGCTCCATCTGAACGCTCCGAAATCACATTGAAAGCGCCTCGATCCCAAGCCACTTCTAGAGGTGGTTTCGAATCGCTTTCCCCGAATCGCGATTTGCGTCTGAACGCAATGTGATTTCAATGTGACTTCGCCTGGTCATGGATTACGGAGTGATATTTCTTTTTTTATATGCAATACCAACTTTTACGTGGCAGCAACTTAAAGAGCGGTAATGGTCAAATAATGTGTCCGTTCTAGGGCGAGCTTCGCCGCCTCTGGCGGGACCACGTCGGCATTCGGCCGAGATACGCTGGGAGGGGGGCATCAGCAAGCAGGTCGTTGACCTCTGACATTAATAACACGCCGCCTTGCGTGTTATCATCAAACAGCAATAAATGTTGCTCAAGCGTATTGTGTTCGGACACGGTTTCACAGGTGTGTGTGGCACGTGGACCAGATGTGAGGAATGTGAGTTACCCGAATCGCGTCTTGGGTGGTTCCGTATAGACACGGCCTGACAGAATGAAAGAATGACGAACGCACCTGAAACAAGTCAACATTTATCTCGCACCCTGCATCGTCATGTCATAAATGTTAATGTTATTTAAGTAGCCAGCTTCAGACAATTAACACCACGTGACTAATCCTGGGTTGTTTGTCACACGGCGTTACGGATCGGTTATCGAAGGAGGCAGACACACCATAGAAGAACAGCAATCTGTGCCCGAGTTCCTGTCAAGAAGTGACAACTGCAGCTATTCTGACCAACTTGAAAGGTGCGTGTCTGCGAGTGGATAAACTATTAAGGTATAATCTAATGTCGCCAGTTTGTCACTGGCCTACGGCTAGGCTGGAAATCAAATGTTAATTGTAATGGGGGGCTTTATTTCAAGCACTTTACAGCCCGAAGGCTGAATTACATGTCCCGTACATTGTATGTATGTCTAAGTCAAGCAGTGTATCTTTTGTCTACACTTTTCTACATATGTTTGTTATGTGTCTGTTAAGTCTTGACCTGTACCTAGTCGTGGCATGAATGTACAATAAAGGTATTTCATTTAATTTCATTGAAAGTTTTCCTGAAAAAAAAACTGTATAAAACAACTTGTGACTAAACAATTATCACTTGTAACACTACAGCCAACATTCATTAAAAGTACTAATTAAAAGATTGAAATATAACAGCATGTACGTGTAGTGGGGTCGCATTACAGAGTACTGTTTAAAAGCTGGACCAGGTTCTCCAAGTAGATGTGACGGGGGAAGATTTGCCCTTTTCTGACTGTTGGCAATGGTATAAATAGCTGGGAGAGAAAACGTTTAACAATATTCCAAATTAATATCTGCTTGGAGGTAAGGTTACATGTAGGGGGTACAAAGGGTGGTGCGCCATGATAGTTTTATTTGCTGACGTGGCACTATTGGCAAAAATGGCTGGAAGTAAAAACTTCGGATAAACCATGCAACATTGCCAAGAAACTTTCTGTTTAAAATTCTTTAAGGCTTGATGTTATGTTACGACCATATTACTTTTCAAAATGAACACGGCAACACAGCTTATATGTCTACATTTACCAGGAGATTTGTGTACGTACAATTGCATTATTCCAAGGACATAGAACGTCCTTGATTATTCAAAAGAGTGCGTGCACGTAACTAAGAAACACATTCCTATAGTGGCTATTTTGATGACATTTTAGAAATAGGAACCTTTAAGATTTATAAGAAGTGTACAATTTTCTAGTCTTACGACGTCTTTATTGGTTTTCCAACCGCAAACATACATATGCAGGGGAAGACACAAGTCTTCCTGAAGTGGGTAGTTCGTTACAATCAACACATAATACAATACAATCAATGAACAATAAACAGTTGTAAAATACAGCATAAAGATGACAAAATTGGACGCAGATACAGCATGGGGTAGCTCATGAAACAGTCTTCTGCTGATTCCTTGCCTGGGAGGTCCAAACAGGGCCATAAGAAGGAGTTCAAAGGAGAACAATATCAATATTTAAGCAGCAAGTCTCAGACAATTAACAGGCCCATACGATAACCACTGGAGACAGGGGCCCCGCCGGGTAGTTCACGGGCTGTTTTCCTGCATTTTCGGGCGCGGCTGCCGGGCTCTTTTATGAGACGGATGGGGAAGCAGATTTTTCATAGGGCCAGAGCAAGTCATGTTTATTGCGCGCAGTAATTTTCGCCTGTTTTAAAAAAAAGAACAAAAAAGAAATTTTGTTGTCCTCTGCCGGAACGTGCATGGCATATACATGTAAAGAGAAGAGACAAGACAAAGGACAATTTAATGTTTTGTTGCAAGTATTTCAATCCTTTCATATGTGATGGTGGCTGTGTATATGTGATATTCCCACTGAATCAAAGCCATATGTTCAATTAGACTTTTATGTTGCTCGAGGTCAGTTTTGGCTTGGCTCCCTAGCCGCAAAAGCGCCACCTACATATAGCGACAAGAAGCAGCACTCCAGTCAGAAGCCTTGAGGTAATAGACATTGAAACAAGGTAAGACGACCCTGGCTGTCCCAGTACCTCCTACACGTTCTGCCAACCTGATGAAATTTACCGCGACATCTCAGGGTGCTGCTCTGTCTTTGTAAGAACATTTCCCTTGCCTCAATTTAGTTTTTTGCTTGTTTCACACAACCAGTAAATGCCTTTAGGCGTAAGACACCAGTACAGTGTGGGGTGTGCCGATGACGTTGACCTGTCCAGGTCAATCCCCTGTCGGTCATGTGGCACAGACAACACTATGTCAGCAGAAGCGTTTCAACTCGACACGTGGGCTGGTCAAAATGACATGATACTGAACGGGAAAAAGAGTCATCAGTTGCAGATCTGCTTCAGTAGGAACATTCCTGTATCCCCACCCTTGTCTCTTGGAGGCGAACTTGTTCCTGTTACAACAACTGCAAAGGGCCTCGGGTTTACTTTTGACAGTACTTTATCCTGGCAAGCACATGTAAAGTCAGCAGTTTCCAAGACCTCCAGCAGGCTGCATTATTTGCGGTTATTGACAAAACAAGGAATGAGTGTCGCCGACTTGGCGCAAGTGTATCTGTCGCTGATTCGCCGTATACTAGAGTATGGTCATGTTTTGCTCGTTGGCTGTAGTGACGAGCTGTCCACAAGTATGGAACGAGTACAAAAAACGCGCAGTGCGCATCATCTCCCTCGGAGGAAATCGACCAGTTCCAAAGCTCCCTTCTCTGAAAGAAAGGAGGGAAGCGGCCGTTTTGAAGCTGTTCACAGCTATGATAAAGCCTGAGCACCCACTATGACTTAGTGCCCCCCCCCCCCAACGGTCCACAGCTACAGGTAGATGTTTGCGGAACAACAGTGCCTTCAATGTGCCAAAAGCCAGGACTGAGCGGCTGAAAAGGTCATTTGTTTACTGTGCGATAAAACTTTACAACGAGTCTGTTTCATGAGCTACCCCATGCTGTATCTGCGTCTAATCTTGTTATTACCTCCGGGGGAGGAGACATCCTTCCGCGGAAGGGTTTTGTGAGAGATTTAGATTTTCAAGTTCGCAGCTGTTTCTCGCGTTTGGGTGGACGGATTCCTTTGAGACTCGGTTTATGTTTTGCTATTGGGCTGCAGATGATGCACATTCTTTTGTTTTTATTGTGTATGTGTTTTCGGGCGTGAAAATGTTGCATTTTGGTGGCCCCAAAACACCCCTTTGAACGTGAAAGTGGTGGCGACCGTTGACCTTTGGCATGTTTGAGCTATTCTCGGTCTGGTCCAGGTATATGACCCCTCACACAGAGGGGTGTCCGGTGTCGACAAATTATTTGTTTAGAACCCTATATAAAAATATACAATTAAAAGCCCGGAGGTATAAAATCTCGGATTTTACTTGTCTTTATGCTGTATTTTACTACTGTTTATTGTTCATCGATTGTATTGTATTATGTGTTGATTGTAACAAACTACCCAATTCAGGGAGACTTGTGTCTTTCCCTGCATATGTATGTTTGCGGTTGGAAAACCAATAAAGACGTCGTACAGTGAGACCGGACTATAAGGTTTTTATCAGTCACACCGGGAAGGCCCTTGACCCTTTTCAATAAGTGCGGAGGGATCTTAAGGGTTAAACTTAAACGTGTTTGTGGTGTGTAACTTTCCTTAAACATGAGACATTCAGCTTTACCTCGCATTATAACTGTAGCTAGGTATTCATTACTCGGTGAAGGTCATGACCTCCGGACGGAGTATTGTGGGAAGCCTTTTTTTCGTGTTCGTAGCTAGAACACGAGTTTCCCTCTGTTTAATCATGTTATTTTATACGTCGTCTGCGGGCATGCCCTTGATGATGCACGTATTTTTATTTTTGCTGTAGCTGTTTTTGTGGTCAATGTAATAAATCTAAAGCACCCCTAAATTTAAGAAGCACGTGGATGCGGTCGCAAAAAAAAACGTTGTTTTGAATAGCGGGGGGGGGGGTGTTTCTTTCAGGCAGATACGAATTTTGGTCGGTGATTGAAAACAGCTGTTTCGTCGCATATAATCGAAATGGTGAGCCGTTCTCTAATGTGTTCGCAGTGAAAATTCATTGTTGTCTTCGCTGTATTTCTTCGTAATTGGGCATGTGGTGTGCTGTTATGTCTGTGATGATGCACGTGGTTTTCTTTTCACCCTAGCTGTTTTTATATTGAGGTAAATTCATATTTCAGAAACACCCCTATTTTTATAATCCCTTGGAATAGGCCGTAGCTTAAGTAGCTGTGTTGTAGGCGCGTTTCTCTAAACAGATATTAGGTGGTTGTAGTGTATAATCGTTTGCGAGTATCTGTTTGGATTGTGACTTGTTTGCTCCTACTACGATACCTTATCAAAGAAATAATATGTAGTAAATGAAAGATATTGTTACGAAAGATGATTGTCATGTTGTTGATCATATGTATTTGAAAAATATAAAACTTCAGTGGCCTTACTGAGGAGCTTCCCGTTCTACTCAGGTTGCAGTACATCATGGGAAGAAAGCTGAGACACGTGCTGATTTTCCTTCTCGTCATCCTGAAAGAATCCAACATGCCAGAAGCATACTGCGGGTGTAAACCATCATCACTCTGCAAAGAAAACCTAGGCCTAACCAGCATCCCTCAGAACCTTCCAACATCCATCTCTGGCTTGGATTTAGGAAGTAATCGGATCAAAACTGTAAAACAGTCTGAGCTGTTAAAGTATAAAAAATTGTGTAACTTGTGCCTGCAAAAAAACTTGATAACAAAGATTGAAGCTGGCACATTTGCGAATTATCTCCCACGGCTAGAGTATTTGTCAATCCATGCAAACAAGATAGCAGAGATTCAGCCTGGTTCATTCGTAAACCTTCCCCAGCTACGAAAGGTGTGGCTGGGTACCAACCAGATAACTACCATCCATTCTAGTACATTTGCAAATCTTCCCCAGCTACAAGAGTTGTACCTGGATACCAACCAGATAACTACCATCCACCCTGGTACATTCACAAATCTACCCCAGTTAAAAGAGTTGCACCTGCTTGACAACCAGATAACTACCATCCATTCTGGTACATTTGCAAATCTACCCCTGCTACATTCATTGGAACTCGAAAACAACCAGATAACTACCATCCATTCTGGTGCACTTGCAAATCTTCCCCAGATACAATCGTTGGAACTGGGAGGCAACCAGATAACTACCATCCATTCTGGTATATTTACAAATCTGCTCCAGCTAAAACAGTTGTTCCTGTACGGCAACCAGATGACTAGTATCATCCATCCTGGTGCATTTGAAAATCTGCCCCAGCTACAAGTGTTGGACCTGGGTGACAACCAGATAACTACTATCCATTCTGGTACATTTGCAAATCTGCTGCAGCTAAATGACTTGTTCCTGTACGATAACCAGATAACTACCATCCATTCTGGCATATTTGCAAATCTGCCCCGGCTACAAACGTTGGAACTGGGATGCAACCAGATAACCACCATCCGTTCTGGTACATTTGAAAATCTACCCCAGCTTAAAACGTTGACCCTGCACGACAACCAGATAACTACTATCCATTCTGGTACATTTGCAACTCTGCCCCAGCTACAAGAGTTGTGGCTGAACGACAACCAGATAACTACCATCAATTCTGGTGCATTTGGAAATCTGCCCCTATTCAAACGTTTGGAACTTCAGAACAACAACATGTCGACCATTCCCCTGTCAGTCTTCTGCTTGTTCCCATCTACTATCAGAATAAGGCTTGACGGGAACCCCTGGCAGTGTGACTGTAGGGTGGCTCCCTTTAGACTCATTCAGGCATTAAAAGACCAGATAATATGTGCCCAACCCGCCAAAGTTCAGGGACAGAAGCTTACAGATGTCAATCCTAAAGAATTGATGTGTAAAGAGCCAACCATATCACCTTTCACTGTTGATAGCTGTTCAGCCGCAGAGTCAACATCTTCAGTTGGCAACGCAGAAAGTGCTGATATCTGTTACAATGCAACCCTCACCTCTCGATATCACTGGTTCTTTAAACGCACTGCCGGTTCCTCAGCACATCCTGCCGAAAACACAAGCAAAACAAGAGCAACGGTAACTCAGCCCCTTGCAATCACTTCAGACAAACCTGAATCTGCTCTCTTCCCCCTACCTTTTCTCATTAGCTCATTCTGCGGTCCAGTTATTGTCATTGTCCTGATTGGCACAATATTGGTCACAGTTTGGTACAAGAGGAGGACCAGACATCCCCCATTAGGTCCAAATCCCGGTGTTGTTGGGAGCAACACAAACACAGCAGTTTCGGTGATGAGCAGTGGCCATCAGAGAAGGCAGGGTCATTCTCAGGCTAACATTCAATCTCTGACAGTTGGAAATCTATCCAATGTTCAAGTGATGGCTGCTTTAAAGCAAAACGCTGGGTATGTAGGTGTGGGAACAGCACCAACTGAACAAGCATATACAGAAATGGCCAGTGGTCATAATCAGACAGGGCAGGGTCAGTCACAGGCCACCACTGAATTCAACACAAACACCACTACCGTAATGACCAATGGCGATGATCACCAGTATGAAGATATTGACAACCATCGTGTTGAGGCAGGGCAGGGTCAGTCTCAGGTCATTACTGAATCCAACACAAATACCACAGCTATTGTAATGACCAGTGGTCATGATCAGACAGGGCAGGGTCAGTCTCAGGTCATTACTGAATCCAACACAAATACCACAGCTACTGTAATGACCAGTGGTCATGATCAGACAGGGCAGGGTCAGTCTCAGGTCATTACTGAATCCAACACAAATGCCACAGCTGCTGTAATGACCAGTGGTCATGATCAGACAGGGCAGGGTCAGTCTCAGGTCATTACTGAATCCAACACAAACACCACAGCTACTGTAATGACCAGTGGTCATGATCAGACAGGGCAGGGTCAGTCTCAGGTCATTACTGAATCCAACACAAATACCACAGCTACTGTAATGACCAGTGGTCATGATCAGATAGGACAGGGTCAGTATCAGCCCCTAATCAAATCCAACACAAACACCACAGCTACTGTAATGACCAGTGGTCATGATCAGACAGGGCAGGGTCAGTCTCAGGTCATTACTGAATCCAACACAAATACCACAGCTACTGTAATGACCAGTGGTCATGATCAGACAGGGAAGGGTCAGTCTCAGGCCATCGTTGAATCCTTAGATGCTGAAAATCTATCTTATGGCACAGGACTGACTACCTCGCAACTAAATTCTCAGTACGGAAACCATAAACCAAACACCACAGCTACTGTAATGACCAGTCGTCATGATCAGACATTGAAGGGTCAGTCTCAGGCCATCCCTGAATCCTTAGATGCTGAAAATCTATCTTATGGCACAGGACTGACTGTCTCGCAACTAAATTCTCAGTACGGATACCATAATTGAAACCATTATGAAACATGTTTGAACTGCGATATCCAACACAAGAAATTGGACTCGCCCAAATTTTTGACTGTGCAACTCCAATTTTTGTCAAGGAATGAGCAATCCACCGCTTCCGTGACGTCACGCAGATAACACGCGTAACTCCCAGTGATCATAGGTTACAGGAAGTCTGTGGCGGCCCTCGTCTCTGTTGAGGGATGGTTGTGCTTCCCTGAAGCGGTAGATTGCTCATTCCTTGACAAAGACTGGAGTTTCGAAATCGTCCAATTTCTTGTGTTGGGCAACCAGTAAGTGAGAAAGACCGCTGAAAGACCCTTGATCGATCTAATGTTTTTGACTCTCCGCAGTCTTTCTATTGTTTCCCTTATGTTTTATTCCAACCTTGACCTATACTGACATTAATTTTGTTAATGCCCAGAGAAACATTTTGAAGGAAACCCTAACAGAAACAATCCTAAGGCACAAACATTTCCTATATCACATTATTGTGTAAGTTCCTCCACACTTAGTTTAACATGAATCCGGTAGAAACCCTATCTAATGGCACAGTGTAACTATCAACTGCATGGTAGTTTTCACTATACGAAAATGTAGAAAAACCATACAGATTGCACTACTATATAAACATGGTAGATATTTAGTGGCTTGGAGGAACTGACTATTTCAACTTTCTGAAACTCAGTGCACCAAGGTATAGACCTTTCCCCCTCAAACTCTGTTCTCATAGTAGTAATATTTCAGCATTATTAGTCTTATTACCTTCGCCAAGAAGGTTATGTTTTCGTAGGCGTTCGTGTATGTGTCTGTCTGTAAACACGATAACTTGAGAAGGTTTAAATGGATTGACTTCATATTTGGTAGGTGGGTAGGTCTTGATGAGACCTCAAAATGATTAGATTTTGGGCCCCCCTAGCGGCTTCTTATGGTACTGCAGCTGAACTTCCGGTTTTGCTATCACGTGATCTGGAAGTGCTAGGGTCACGAAATTTGGATGGTAGGTAGGTCTTGTGCTGGGTGACATATGTTTGGGCCCCCTAGCGGCTCGCTCAGGAACTGCAGGGGCATTTCTTTGAAACTATTCATAAGATGATAACTCAAGAACCGGTGGACGGATCATCATGATTTTTGGTATGTAGGTAGCTTAAGTGGCGCTTGACATAATCATGTGACAATTATGCCAATCTGGATGTAATTTGCATAATTAATGAGGAAATTCTATAAGTCAGCTGCATTACATTATAGGACTATTGAAGCTTGTGACATATGTAATTGAGAACGAGAGAAACACAGACAGATATTGATTATGTAAATTAACACTTAATTTGCATAATTAATGACAAAATGTTATAATTCCATAATGGTAACTGTCTGGAATTTCATACTTGGGGTATTTGAAAGTTAAGTGAAAGTGAACATCATTAAACATAATATTCAAATAAGGACCTCATTTGCATAATTTATGAGAAAATGATAGAATGGCTTTCTAAATGTTAAGATAAGGCTGTCTTTTAACCCTCAACAGTACACCTTCCCGGACTGATTAATCTGTACACCTGGGGTCCGCGCGGACCCCAGAACAGTTTTTTCTAATTTTTAGAAATTATCAACATGCTCCTAGCTCAATTGTTTTGCAAACTGATGTGGGAACCTCTGTGTCCACATTACATACAAAAATCATACATTTTGAACTTTTTCTATTTTTTGGTGAAGAAAAGAAGACAAGAAGAAATACCCGATTTTTAAACCCATTTCAGACTGAAGGGGCTTTTGAGGCCCAACTTTGATCTCAGATAGCGGCTAAACGGCTTGCGCTAGAAGTATCAAATTTGGAGACCTTTCCTAAAATGTCTCTGGAAAAAAGTTCATATTAGTTTAATACTAGTAAGTTGATGTTTTTTTGTGTTGCCATGGCAACGGGTTTCTAGCAGGCAGTTTTTTTTAAAGTAGAAGTAATTTTGGTTTAAACATAAAAATTTTCTGAGTTTTATATTAAATTACACTTCTTTTCCAACATTAACATCATCTTACATAATTAAATATAAGTTAAAACATTTAATATGCATGTAGTATGCTAATTTGATGACGTCATTGGTTAAAATCCAATATGGCGGACTATATTATTAGGTCTGACGTCATATGACGTCATAATTACACCAAAGTTATTAAAATTTAATTCTATTACTACACCATTCTCTGAAAACTTGGTACACATACGATGAGTGCGTAAAAACATATAAAAACGGAAATAAGGTAATGTATAAGAACGCCAGTGTATCCATTATGATCGAAAGCCGGCTGGGGTCCGCGCGGACCCCAAAAGAAAATCAGATATAATTTTTTTCATAAACGGTAGAAATGGAGTTTTCTGCACTGTTTTGAGAGACAACTTTGTGGGTGACAATTACCTAAAATTTCAGAAAAAAATCTTTAGAAACAAAAAAGATATTACAGAATATATAGTGCTGGGGTCCGCGCGGACCCCAGGTGTACTGTTTAGGGTTAATGGAGAATATGATCAACTGATATAATTCATGCAAATAAGGATCCTATTTGCATAATCAGGAGGAATAATCTTTACTTTGTTAGTCACAGGGATTAACATCGTTTGGCGAAGGTATGAGATCGTGGGACTCTAGTTTGAAATGAATGGGGTTCGTGAGCCTTGGTTAGTTCGCTATTTTGCAACGTTTGTATTTGCAGAATCTAATTTACAAAGTCAATGAGGACATCCTGATTTATTCCAAGGTAGGACTATCTAAACTATGTAATGGGGAACAAGAATGAATGAATGAATGAATGAATGAATGATTGAATGAATGAATGAATGAATGAATGAATGAATGAATGAATGAATGAATGCCAACAGAAAAGCGGAGACGTGGTCGCCCTTCTTTAACTCTGAAGAAGGTGATAGAGGAGGACATAGGTCTGGGCGGTGCTAAACTGTCCTCTGTCATGCGTGACAGGAACTTGTGGAGGCAGTACATAGTGTCACCTGAAGGATGACCTGAACTGAACTTATTGCTCAACAGCTGTACAGATACAATGCATGCCATAATGACTGCAATCAATACAATACTTGTCTATTCTTTAAAAAAAAGGAACATCGGCAAATATCAATCATGCAAATAAAGAAGAAGCTTGCATAATTAATGATTAAATATTTTAATTTTGTAATGCTAACTGCCGAGAATATGATACTTATTAAGTTATTGCAATTGGAATGAGTGAAGGAAAACATCATTAAACATAACTTATTAAAATCAGGGCCTCATTAGCATAATTCATGCGTAACTGCTAGAATAGCTTAATTAATGATTAAATATTTTAATTTTGTAATGCTAACTGCCGAGAATATGATACTTATTAAGTTATTGCAATTGGAATGAGTGAAGGAAAACATCATTAAACATAACTTATTAAAATCAGGGCCTCATTAGCATAATTCATGCGTAACTGCTAGAATAGCTTTCTTTGTTAAGATAAAACTGCTATTGAGTGGAGAATACCATCAACTGATATAATTATAACATTTATAATTCGTCAGTCCATCCAATACGTCATCCGACGATGGTCAACAATCAAATGTTGTGCGTTCCTACTCAAATATGATATATATTAACAGTAACTAAACATAAGTTGTACATGTATTACTTTCATGTGATTAAATACAATATAAATAAGAGCGATGAAAATATTTACCCGGGCAGATGACATGTATAGTACATGATGTTATACATTTATTAGTTGTAACTGGTACTTCCGTGAGTAGTGTCATCAGGTTTGTAAGTCACTGAATAAGAAGACTCTTTTTATACGCGTCCGAGCGACTCAGTTACGTTTGGGACCGCATTCGTAAGAAGTACATCTTATTACACTCCTGTACGTTTGGGACCGCGTTGTGGATACCGTTCCCTGTAGCTTTGGTCCACATTGTACAGCACAACTGCTAATCAGATTTGCCCTGAAGAAGGTGACAGGCGGTCACTGAACACTGAATAAAACATTCTGTTGTGTGCAAGCAGATTCTGTAACTGATAAACTTTTACCACTTTTTCGTCCCTCCACCAAAGGAGTTTTTGGACACCGACTCAGAACTGTTGAGTGTCAATAGCATCAAGAGACATAACCATACTCTGTGATTGCTCAATATAATCCTGAGCCTTTTCTTGATAACCAAATTCACCCCATGCCAACCCTAATTTGAAGAGTATCTTGGCAATGTCCATATGTGCAGTGTTGCCTCCATAGACTGTTTTCATCATCGTCAGTGACTGTTCCAAGTACCCAATTGCTCTTTTCTGATCGCCGACCTTACTCCAAGAGGATCCCAACTCTAAAAGTGACAAGGCAACAATGTATGAGTGTTTCTTGTTGTTGCCATGTAGTGTTTTGCGCATAGTTGAGCATGACTGCTCGAAGTAGCTGATTGCTTTCTTGTTGTCACCGAGTTCACTCCAGGACAGCCCCAGGTTATAAAGCGTCCCTGCACTTTCCGGAGTTGCCTTGTCGTCTCCATAGATGGTTTGCTGCATCGCCAGTGACTGTTCGTAGTAGCTGATAGATTTTCTTCCATCCAGCCTACTCCAAGATGTTCCCAGTGTGTCAAGTGTCCTGACAACATCTTGATGTGGCGTGTCTCGTCCATAGATAGTTTCCATCATTGACAGGGACTGTTCGAGATGGTGAATCGCCTTTCTGTCATCTCTGAGTTTACTGCATGAGATACCCAGGTCAGTAAGTAACCGTGCTACATTTGTGTCTACAGTATTGGGTCCATTGATGGTTTTCTCCATTGTCAGTGACTGTTCATAGTATCTGATAGCTTCTTTCTGATCGCCAAGTTCATCCCAGGATAATCCTATGTTTCGAAGTAAAAAGGCAATGTATGGATCTGGTGTATTGTCTCCACATGCAGTTTTCGCCACTCCTAGCGCCTGTTCAAAGTAGCTGATTGCTTTCTTCTGATCTCCAAGCCCTCTCCAAGATGCTCCCAGCAATTCAAGTGGCTTGGCTATGTCATGATGTGCCTCCTTGTCCCCATAGATAGTTTTCGCCGTTCTCAGCGAATGTTCATAGTACCTGATAGCTTCTTTCTGATCGCCAAGTTCATCCCAGCATAATCCTATGTTTCGAAGTAACAAGGCAGTGTTGTCTCCACATGCAGTTTTCGCCACTCCTAGCGCCTGTTCAAAGTAGCGGATCGCTTTCTTCTGATCTCCAAGTTTTCTCCAAGATTCTCCCAGCAATTCAAGTAGCTTGGCTATGTTATGATGTGCCTTGTTGTCTCCATATGCATGGATAGTTTTCGCCGTTCTCAGTGACTGTTCAAAGTAGCTGATTGCTTTCTTTTCATCTCCGAGTTCACTCCAGCACATTCCCAGGTTACTAAATGTCTCGACAACTTTCGGGTGTGCCATGTCGTGTCCGTGGATGATTTCCTTCATCGCTATGAACTGTTCGTAGTAGCTTACCGCTTCCCTGTATGTATATAATGATATACAAGATGATATAAAAATGCATATGTGAGTAGAAGAAAGGACATACCGTGAATCATCCTCAGAGCTGAAGCAAACTTCTCTTCCGCTGTGTCTAGCTTCCCATCAGTCAGTGCGCGGTCCCCTTCCGTCAAGCTGCGTGTTGATTGGTGGGTGGGAAAGTTACAAGGTCACAGAGCTACAGGTTGTTTCTGAAAGCTGCGAGTTGATTGGTGGGTGGGAGATTCACAAGGTCACAGAGCTACAGGTTGTTTCTGAAAGCTACGTGTTGATTGGTGGGTGGGAGAGTCACAAGGTCTCAGAGGTCACTGCTACATCCATGGTAGTAGTTTTTTAGCGAAGTAACCAAGGTCCAAAAACTCGAGTCTTTCATTTGCAAAGTTTGCAGAATGTAATTTACAAAATAATGAGGACATTTATCAATATGTTTAATCCCAAGATAGGATTTGATATGTGTAATTGAGAACAAGAATGAATGAATGAACTTTATTGCTCAACAATTGTACAGATCGATAAAATGCATGCCATAATGACAATGCAATCAATGCAATGATACTAGTCTATTCTGAAAACAGGAACATCGACAGATATCAATCATGTAAATGAAGAAATAACTTGCAAAATTAATGATGAAATATTTCAATTCGTTAATGGTAACTGCCGAGAATGTTATACTTATTGCAATTGGAATGTATGATGGAGATCATCATTGAACATAACTTATTCAAATCAGGGCCTCATTAGCATAATTCATGAGGAACTACTAGAATAGCTTTCTTTGTGAAGATAAAATTGTTATTGAGTGGGGAATACCATCAACCGATATAACATTTATAATTCATCAGTCCATCTAATACATCATCCGACGATGATCAGCAATTAAAAGTTGTACCTTCCTACTCAAATATGATATACGATAAGAGTTGTACATGCTGTACATGTATTTCTTTAATGTGATTAAATTCTACATAAAAAAGAGCCATGAAAATATTTACCCGAGCACATGACATGAATAGTATATGATGCTATACATTTATTATTAGTTGTGACTGGTACATCCGTGAGTAGTTCCATCAGGTTGGTAAGTCACTGAATAAGAAGTCTCTATTTATACGCGTCCAAGTGACTCAGTTATGTTTGGGACCGCATTCGTAAGAAGTACATCTTATTACACTCATTGGGTTTGGGACCGCGTTGTGGATACCATTCTTTGTAACTGTATATACTAGTATGTATTTGGGGGGGGGCATCTTTAGCAGTTGTGTGCTGTACAATGTGAACCAGGCAGATTTTCCCTGAGGAAGGTGACAGACGGTCATTGAAACATCGGCTGCAGCTGAATAAAACATTCGATTGTCTGTGACTCTGTAACTGATAAACTTTTGCCCCTTTTTCGTCCCTCCACCAAAGGAGTTTTTGGACACCGACTCAGAACTGTAGAGTGCCACTAGCATGATAAGACATACTCCGTGATTGCTCGAAGAACTCCATAGCCTTTTCTTGATAACCATGTTTACCCCATGCCAACCCTAATTTGAAGAGTATCTTGGCAATGTCCATATGTGCTTTGTTGTCTCCATAGACTGTTTTCATCATCGCCAGTGACTGTTCAAAGAACCGAATTGCTCTTTCCTGATCTCCGACCTTACTCCAAGAGGATCCCAACTCTAAAAGTGACAAGGCAACAATGTATGAGTGTTTCTTGTTGTTGCCATGTAGTGTTTTGCGCATAGTTGAGCATGACTGCTCGAAGTAGCTGATTGCTTTCTTGTTGTCACCGAGTTCACGCCAGGACAGCCCCAGGTTATAAAGGGTCCCTGCACTTTCCGGAGTTGCCTTGTCGTCTCCATAGATGGTTTGCTGCATCGCCAGTGACTGTTCGTAGTAGCTGATAGATTTTCTTCCATCCAGCCTACTCCAAGATGTTCCCAGTGTGTCAAGTGTCCTGACAACATCTTGATGTGGCGTGTCTCGTCCATAGATAGTTTCCATCATTGACAGGGACTGTTCGAGATAGTGAATCGCTTTTCTGTCATCTCTGAGTTTACTGCATGAGATACCCAGGTCAGTAAGTAACCGTGCTACATTTGTGTCTACAGTATTGGGTCCATTGATAGTTTTCTCCATTGTTAGTGACTGTTCATAGTACCTGGTTGCTTCTTTCTGATCGCCAAGTTCACTCCAGCATGATCCAATGTTTCGCAGTAAAAAGGCAATGTATGGATGTACCGTGTTGTCTCCACATACAGTTGTTGTCACTCTTAGCGCCCGTTCAAAGAAGCTGATCGCTTTCTTCTGATCTTCAAGTTTTCTCCAAGATGCTCCCAGCAATTCAAGTGGCTTGGCTATGTCATGATGTGCCTTATGGTCCCCATAGATAGTTTTCGCCGTTCTCAGCGACTGTTCATAGTACCTGATTGCTTCTTTCTGATCGCCAAGTTCATCCCAGCATAATCCAATGTTTCGAAGTAACAAGGCAATGAATGGATCTGGCGTGTTGTCTCCACATGCAGTTTTCGCCGCTACTAGCGCCTGTTCAAAGTAGCGGATTGCTTTCTTCTGATCTCCACGTTTTCTCCAAGATTCTCCCACCAATTCAAGTAGCTTGGCTATGTTATGATGTGCCTTGTTGTCTCCATATGCATGGATAGCTTTCGCCGTTCTCAGCGACTGTTCAAAGTAGCTGATTGCTTTCGTTTCATCTCCAAGTTCACTCCAGCACAATCCCAGGTAACCGAATGTCTCGAAAACTTTCGGGTGTGCCATGTCGTGTCCGTGGATGATTTTCTTCATCTCTATGAACTGCTCGTAGTAGCTTATCGCTTCCTTGTAATCGCCTAATGCCTGCCAGGAGTACCCAATGTTGAAGAGGACCGTGGGGATTTCTGGGTGCGTCTCGTGTTCTCCATAAACAGTTTTCGACATCACCAACGACTCTTCGAAGTAGCGTATTGCTTTCTGGTGGTTGTCGAGCTTAGACCAGGTTAATCCGATATTAAGAAGTGACGTTGCGATGTCCCGATGACACGTCTCTCCGTAGATTGCCTTCTTCATCATCAGAGACTGTTCATGGTAGCTGAGCGCTTTCTTCTGATTGCCAAGTTTATTGTAAGACAATCCTAGATTATTTAGTAACAGAGCAATGTATGGATGTACAGTGTTTTGTCCATAGATGGTCTTCGTCATCGCTAGTGACTGCTCGTAGTAGCTAATTGCTTTCTCTTCATCGCCGAGTTTACTCCAACATGATCCCAGATGCCCAAGTGAAGAGGCAACCTTCTCATGAGCCGTTTCTCCATGGACAGTTTTCCTCATCTCCAATGACTGTTCAAAGTAGCTTTTTGCCTTCTTGTGATCACCTAGATCACTCCAGCATAACCCAAGGTTTGAATGTGTCGCAGCAATGATGTCAACATATGCCGGTTTGTCACCAAAGATAGTTTTAAACATCTTTAGTGACTGTTCGAGGTAGCCCATTGCTTTCTCTGGTTTGCCAAGTATACCCCAGGATACTCCCAAGCTAGCAAGTGATGAAGCAAAGACATAATTTGCTGCGTTGTCACCATGGATAGTTTTATGTATCCTCACCGACTCTTCCAAATACTTGTTTGCCTTTATAATATCGCCATGCGATGCAAAGTATTCCCCAAACTCGACAAGTATTTCCGCGCGTATGGCCATGTCGCTACCGGCTTCCTTCAGTGCTGCTTCGAAATGCTTCATACATTTACTAGACTGGAACAATGTTTTAGCTATCCGGCCCCTGCATGCATTGGAGATATCAAAGATGGTAGTTTTGAACACACTTCTTGATTGGTCCTGCGAGTCGTATTGAACAATGTCCGGTATACACTTCTTCAGTGGGATAGCTCTGCAGTAATATCGGAATAGAATTTGAGTATCTGGAATGTGGAATTCTGACTTAAGTGTTGTGTCAGACATCTCTTCCGTCTTTGTCTGAAATTTCATTTCGGCAAGAGGCGAGAGGCTGTCCTTTTGTCCCCTGTTGGCCATGTACGTTCTCAGCCGTAGCTCTGCTGAGATACCGGTGAGAACCGTGAGGTGCGTGGCGTTCTCTTCTTGAACCTGTCCCGTCTTCTTCAGTCTGTCTATCACGGCCCACGTGCTGGCCAGGTTCACCTGACAACACAGAGCCAGAACATCGACCGCCACGCCTGGAAAACGGTAGATGTTTTCTTGACGTTGAGCAGCTTCCCGGTGGGTTCACGGGCGGAGAGCATCTCTCTGTTCTCCTGAAGGATCTGCACGGCTGACAGGCGGGACTTGAAATCGGAGAGGAGATCGTTTGTGACAACTTCATCGAGCTTTTCCCGATACTCGCCTACCAAGACTTCTTCACCAGCTAAGAAAACGAACCGCCTGAGGATGTCTGACAGGTGATATCCTTCCGTCAGTGCCACCTCCAGCTGCTGAAACGCTGCCATCTTGGCAGGAGTCTGGATGAGACTTACAGGTTGTTTCGTTTTGGTTCTGTCTCTTCCAAAAGGAGTCTTGCAAGCCCACGGCATGAAGCCGTCGAAGGAGAACCCACGAGGCGTGACGGAGTCGTAGAACCAGTCTCTCTCCTGGTCCTCGGAGTAAAAGTCGTTGAGTGACGGGATGGCCATGGCCGGGAGGATGGTCTCTCCCAGGTTGATGACCTTCAGGTGCAGGTAGTGTGTGAGGTTTATGAAGTACCTCCGTGTATCATCATCATCCTTCCCCTCCTCGGTCAGAATGGCGAACTCCAGGTCGGAGTACGGCGTCACCAGTTCTGTGGCCTGTGAGCCCAAGCCAATGAAAGCGTACTTACATGGAGGAGGACCGAGTGTGGCGATGCATTCGTCAACTAATGTCTGGATAAATGTCTGTCTATCCTTGGCGATGGTCTTGAACAGAGCTTTGACGGCCTCAGCTCGCTTTGCCTCTACTGGTAACATCTTCGGGTCATCTTCATCATATTGATATGGATTGTGTTGATGATCAATGGCTTCTACTTGTGACTTTGCGCGCGCGCGCATGTCTTCTAGTAGCTTCTGATGACGCATGGCCGAATCAGGAAGACTCGGTTTACTGTCCACATGTGCTGTGTGGTGAAGAAACCATTTCTCCGTGCCCCACAGGCTTGTCTGTATTCTGTCTTTACCTCTGTCCGTTCTGGCCATGGCTGCGTTGTACAGGGCTGCTGCCTGGGTGAATTTCCTCCCCTCTTCTGTTCTTTTGCCTCTCTGTACGTACACGTCACCGAGTCTGCACAGGCAGTCTGCCTCTTTGGTACAGTCTGGTTTGTTGGGATCTGTATGTGCACAGAAATTTAAAGCTAGTTAGCATTTGGGCAACATTAAATCTTGTTGGTAGGCTAATATCAACATTGACATTCATTGCGAATGTATGCCCAAATATGGCTAAATGCACTACGTTAGATCATATTCACATGAACGTACAATGAGGATACTATCATGAAAGTTCATCTGTGTTGGTAGTTACATGTTTAAAGTTAAAACTTTTGGTCCAACACAAAAAATTCTCTCACCTACAGCTTTCGACCAGTCACCCAGGTCTTCCTCAGTAGACTGACCCAGTGAAGCTTGTCACGTGGCTTCTTTGAAGTGTGGCGTCAACACTGGGTCAAAGGTATCTGGTTGACGATGTCGGCCCCCGTCGCGGTTCAATGAAGGGTGATGGGCCCTGATGTATATGGCTTCCTTCACCCCTCTCAAGAAATAGTCTTGTTCAGTGTCCAAGCTCTGCGTTCTGCCAAGCTCTGCCAGTTCAGAGGTGTCACAACACATCCACATAGAGCCACCCGGACACTTTGTTTCACTTGACACTGTAAGAATTTTGGACACTGAACAAGACTATTTCTTGAGAGGTGTGAAGGAAGCCATGTACATCAGGGTCCATCACCCTTCGTTGAACCGCGACAGGAGCCGACATCGTCTTCCAGATACTCCAGTGTTGACGTCACACATCAAAGAAGCCACGTGACAAGCTTCACTGGGTCAGTCTACTGAGGAAGACCAGAGTGACTGGTCGGGTGCTGGTCGAAAGCTGTAGGTGAGAGAATTTTAACTTTAATACGTAAAATGAGCTCAGGGTATTATGCTATGCTTTATCTATGTTTGTAATCAAGTCATACGTCTTCTCTCTCTCTCTCCCTCCCTCTCTCCCTCTCTCTCCCTCTCCCTCTCTCTCTCCTTCTCTCCCTCTCTCTGAAAACACGTGCTTACGGGTTATCCTGAGCATTTTGTGCTTCATTTTCTACATGAGTTTGATATTAGAAACCATACATTTTATACAGTCTATTATTTGTCCTGCACCCCTTATAAACTAATGATATACAAGTTGATATAAAGAAGCAGATGTGAGAGATACCGTGAGTTATTCTCAGGGCTGAAGCAAACTTCTCTTCCGCTGCGTCTAGCTTCCCATCAGTCAGTGCGCGGTCCCCTTCTGTCAGTTGATCATCGTAAGACCTATATAATGTGAGAGGCGATTAGTGGTATTCTAGATATGTAACGTTATAGATGAACAGGCAAGATGAACTGGGATATGCTTATTAGCGCTGCTGCTGATTTGCGCATATTTGTGCCAACATTTACATAGACCAAATGGACTCCCTCTATACTTATGTAATAGATAAGTTCCCAAGCTTTAGACATTTAGACAGAATAGAAAAATTCGAATTCCTCATGAAACTTGACAAATCCTGTATCATTAGCTCAATATGTTCGTACATCTTTAACTGCGTTAAGAAGCGAGAAGAAGCTGAACCTGTAAATAGTAGATCACATTAGTATATATAGTATGTAAGTGTCAATGCTGTATTCTTTTTCCCTGTTTATCCACGACCTGTACTTAGCTTGTTAGAGCACAAACGTACAATAAACTTCGGTATTTCATTCATTATTGTCAGACTTGCGGCGAACTGTCTGTTACCATGGTATTGTATGATAACTGGTTTTCATAGTGATGAAATCTTGACTTGTCGAAAGCGGTGTTGCATCAAAAGTTTGAACTTTAAACACATAAAATCTTGAATTGGTAGTTAATGAGAATGGTTTCCTCGAGTAAGGAGGTGTATTCGGCCACAGCAAGCTGTCAGGGAGGAGGGCGCCAAATCAGCCCCTGACAGGTACCTCGTAGATGTAACACGGGCTATATAATAATTATATATATAAGTTAGATCATATCTGAAGCATACAGGTGACGTTCATGCTAAAAAAAAAGGACGTTTCATTCCGCATTGTACGGATGTGTATGTAATCCATGGAAATGCGCACTATAAAACAGTACAATCTTTGAGACGATGGAATCATGTTTACCAAATCTTGGCTAATCTCGCAACATGAAAGGAAACTTAGACTACTTTTATATACGAGCCCAACAATTACGTTTGTTAGAGGAAAGTACAATAATAACCAAACCTGTCAAATACAACACAGCAACGTACATGTTCAGCAAAAGTCCCAATGCACTAAATTGAAGATCAATATGTTACCAGTACTATAGAAGCTGTGCTTACATGAACTGTTGACCTTTCTCGTCACGGATGCTGACGTCTGTGTTGTTTGCGGACATGACTGGTAAGCCCCGCGGCACGTCAGCTTGTTGTTGTCTGCGCTTCGAAACCTTCATGTAAACACAGCAACAAGAAAAGATCGACGGGGGCACTTTAATATAGCGCAAAGAGGTTTTTGTAGCAACACATAACAGAAGAATGAATTTTGAGTTTAAAACTTAAGTTCCACGACTTTATACTTTCGTAATGGTCAGATCGTTCCGCTTGGAGCCAAGAGGTCCAGGGTTCGATCCCCTGACCTGCCCTAATGTTATGCCCTTGGGAAATGCGTTTTAACTTCACTCAGGTGAAAAAAAATGAGTAACGTATATACTAAGCTTTTGTTAGGGACGTCCCTCAGATAGCAGGTTAAATGGAGGTCCCGTGTTCGGGGAGAGCCATACCCCGTGAACGTTGAAGAACCCACCACACCTTTCGAAAAAGAGTAGGGGCAATGCCGGCCAGTATGCGATGGTATGGCGATGGTATGATTCTACAAGTCTAGAGTTGGTGACTCATTCTAAATCACCAGTATAGCAGACTCTGAGTCAAATTGATTTTGGACACCTAAACTCCAATGACAAAAGACAGGACGTACGAATTATAATCGTTTCTCATTGATTATGCAAATACGATCTTCATTTGCAAGGTCGAATTATTATCAGTTGATCATGTAAATGGTATATTGGTAAAACATTACCCGTGCAATCGCAGCCTTTTATAGCGCTAAATTGATGCATTGTTCACAATCACATAATACACATGACATATTTAGCATATTTGCCCCACACACTTTTGTGGAGCTGTCGGAAGGGTCTGTACGGCTGCCATTCGGCGCCACCAGCTGACGTCAATACAACTTTCCCCAACTGAAGTATTCTCTCCCAATGAGAGCCTTACTGTCGACATGATAGTTATTCAGAGCTTAGCCTCTACCAGGCTTCGGAAGACGGCTGGAAAGAGTAGAAATAGGTCAAATAGAGATAACATGCCGAGGGAGTTGGTCTGCTAGAGAGAACGTACATTTTGGGGTGCGGCAAAATGTTCTCTCTAGCAGACTAACTCCCTCGGCATGCTATCTCTCTATTTGACCGATTCCGACTCTTTCCAGCCGTCTCCCGACGCCTGGTAGAGGCTAGCATGTCCTCCTTAACGATGACTCACAGACACACCCACGAACGCTACCTAAAACATAACCTTAGCTTTTTGGAAAAGGTAACAATTGGAAATGTTGATACCTTAGACAGTCCTTGCCTGATCCTAGCGGTGTACAGTAAGCGGTGAATAAGTGCCTCCCTGCCCTGGACCCTCTCACATCTCTCCAGTGCCGTGTTATACAGAGCTGTGGCTTTGGTCAGACATGTCAAGTCTCTAATTTCTGTTCCTCTTTTCAGGTACACGTCACCCAGACTCTTAATAGATTCTATTTCCAGCACACAGTCCTCGTTTACGATTCCTTCTACCATCAACTTGGTGTATTCAATCAATAAAGACTCCTTGTAGCCACCATCGGCAAATCTTTTGTCCAGACGGCGGAACTTTTCTGCCACCTTGGCAAGCGAAGACAGTTTGTTGCATGTTGTACTGGACTCGTAACTTCTCAATGTCCCTGTAGCGTTGCCTAGCCGTACTTTTTCTGCGTAACGGTCACGGTTTTGTAGACTTTCCGCCACCTCGGCGTCCTGACACCGGTGCAAAGCGGCCCTGTACAGCGCCATGGCCTTGTCCCTGAACTTCACATCTTTGCCGCGGCGTCTTCCCTTCTCCAAGTTCACGTCGCCCAGAGTTTTGAGCGCCTCCACCTCCACCGCCCTGTCCATGTCCGCCATGGCGTCCACCAGGGCGCGGAGGTAGTCTGTCTCAGTTCGCGCCAGGCCGTGTCTCTTGCTCTTGGCGTCCGCCTCGCGAAGCTTCTCACAGACCCTCAACATTTTGGACATTTTATAATACTAGTACAATGAAGACCGCGAGTCAACCATGCTTTACAATGCAGCGTCTGTTCAGTTATGAGTTGTGTCTAGGAATATATAGTGTCTGTACAGGTGTTGTTTAATATCCGGGTTCACGGCTAGGGCGGTATGTGACGGATAGGACAGCTCATTATTTACCTTAGCTGTTTTCCGTAGCTTTTGTGTGTGTCCGTCTGTCTGTCTGTTAAGGCCACAGCAAGTAAGTTTTATGGATGGCATCCTCCAAATCTAATACGAGCAGGCAAAAAAAAGGCGGGCCGAAAAAAAAAAGTTTCCCACATTTTAAAATTTTGGCTCAGTGAGGAACATCACATGATTCAGTGGGAACATCACATATACACAACCAACATCACTGCATCAAAGTAAGAAACAGAAGATTAAATCATAGCCTTTTCTTGTCTTCTCTCTTCAAAGTTATCTGCCATCCACCTTCCGGCATGGCAACAGACATCTTTGCCCATTTTCGGCATGTTGACCACTGTCAGAGGGCAACAAAATTTCTTTTTTGTTTTTCCAAATCAGGCTAAAATTAATGCACGCGCTGATGTCATCCATAAGAATTACTTGCTGCGGCCTTACACGATAACTGGAGAGCTTGGATGGATTGTCTCGATATTTGGTATGTGGGTAGGTCTTGATGAAAATTAAGTAATATGACTTTGGGTCCCCTGGCGGCTCGTTATGGTACTGCAGCGGATTTTTTTTAAAATCAAGGTCAGGAATTTTGCATGGTAGACAGCCTTTGTTGCAAGTAAAAAGTGACATGAGTTTGACGCCCCTAGCAGTTTGTTCTGGAACTGCAGGAAATTTGTTTTAAAATCTTTGAAGTACAGTTGACAGATAGTAAAAAAAAAGATTCTAAAACAGGAAGAGATGTTTGAAAGTTTTAATAAAGTACAAGTCTACACACCTACGCTTCACCAATTGGACTATCAAACTACATAAAAACACAATCTGACATGACATCTTCGTGACATCTATCCATTTAGCACTATAATGACTGATTCAGGAACATTGATTGAACCTAATAAAGTATCAGAATATGCAAGTTTCCCTACCTTTATCCTTGTATAATACATTTTGTGCCTGTAGATTTTATACTGATAGTACTGTACCAAAACATACATGTACAGGTGAGGGAAATATGAGTATTCTATTAAACTGTATCTGTATTTATGTGTATCAACTATTACAAGCCAAAAACAACACTGGCAACCAGTGTTTTTCTCAATGTCTTCGTGGACAAAATCTTTTAATGACTTTCTCCAACATTAAAAAAAAATGATACCACATTTCACCTGTAAATCGTAGCCTTGGATGCCGTCCGTTTTGGAAAGTGGCTCCTTGCACCCCCTTGTTACAGAATGGATGCCTCCCAGGCTATGAAAATTGACCCTTTTTTCTGTGTTTTCCAGTTACAAAGTATTAAAACAAAGTCTAAGCCAAAATTTCTAAAAAAATTGGAATCAGTGCAGGTAATGGTGTTGAGTTTATCCAGATTAAGTACCTATAAGATCATAGAAGTCTGAACACAAGTTTTACTCAGATCTGCCCAAGAGGATGGATAAAAGTTGTACTCAGATCCCAGCCTAATTCCACATCTATATCGCAATTTAACCTCAGTGCATCCTTATCCTTACTTATGATACATTTTACTATTGTAAAAAAAAAACTAGCAGGAATGCAGGAATCGCATAATATTTCATACAACATAGATGTACACACAAAGTTCTCCAACTTTTGGTCACCACTGGAGAACACATCGGCAGAACATACTGTACCTGAGCAAAACCCATAATGCATTGTGGATAGCACTTCAGCAGAACGTCTCATATAAGGTCGTATTCGCATATACAAGGTTAACATCCTGTCTGTAGTTTCCAAATGTTATGTTGGAAAAGATATCCTCTGCAACAGGCAAAATTCTGATGCAATGTTGACCAAAAATCTTGAAAACTCATGGTTTTGTGCAGTAAAATGTACATTCTCCCGACATGCTCAACTGAAGTACTATAAGTTAACACTGGTCCTAGCTGTTGCCTTAGATTGCCCAGTGGGCTACTTTAAACAAGTGCTTCATGGGTTAATTTTAGTTCCTGATACTACTTGGAGAGTTTTTAGCGTACAATCCCGTTAAGAACGACGTCCTGCTAGCGTGATGAGCTGGAGCTGGAGCGGCTGCGGTGGCGACGGCGGCCCACGGAGCGCGAGCGGGATCTGGAGCGACGCGGCCTTCTGGGAGAAATGGACCTACGGCGGATGGGACTCCTGAAATAACATTCAACAGAACATGCACATCAAGGGTGGGCTATTGGGAGATTATACATGTAGTATGAGCCTAGTATTAAACTATATAAACCCATGAATAGCAAAGTTCTTTGATCACAACCATTTATTTTTCATGAGCCGACGTTTCAATGATCGTCTGCCATCTTCATCAGGGCATTTCTGACTGGTTTACTGTGAACTGATGCTAGATGTTACTTGGTGCGTAGTGCACTGCGAACCAAGTAACAGTGAACTGTGAACTATGTAACACCTTTGGCTTTAGTGCACTATGCACTAAGTAACATCTAGCGTCAGTGCACAGTAAACCAGTCAGAATTACCCTGATGAAGATGACAGACGGTCATTGAAACGTCGGCTCTTGAAAAATAAATGGTTGTGATCAAAGAACCCATGTTCAGATTCAGGTTCGGATTCGAATACAGGGCATATACAAAATACGGAAGGGACTGCTCGATTAACATTTCCTGATGGAAAATGGAGCATCTTTGCCACAAAATTTTGTAACAAGCACTGCACTTCTACCAGGGTTTACAAAATAATGTTGTTTGCAGGCACGTCTGGGCAAAACTGTGGCCACATAATTTGCAGAGGCTGACACTTGATGATGGTAACGTCAATTTTCCCTTCATTTTGCAGCACAAATTTTTGATTATTGAAGATTTCAGGTAGTTTAGAACAAAAAGGTGAATGTGACATAAGTCCAGAACTAGTTCCAGGTTTTTTCGGACTTGAACCTAAACATTTTTACAAGTCCAGAACTAGCTCCAGCGTACCGGTACACAGCACTATAGCCCAATAAACTGGTTAAAGGAGTACTAACCTCCAGAAGGGACAGGCATTAATTTTAGGAAGTGAAAAATGCATATTTACTTTACTTTTATTAATTAAATGCCCATTTTGTGCGCAAGTCTTAAAACACATTGAATCTACAAAATGTAGGACAAACTCTCCAAATACCCTCAAAACTATCCCAGAATACACCACGCTACCCTACCGGTGTCTATGTTTTAAACAAAAAGTTTTAAACAAAAGTTTATGTTTTAACTTTAAGTGTATGAGTATTGCATAAGCCAGAGTTCCCGGATGTATCGATTGTGGTTCAGCATGGGGGAAATGATATCGATATCGCTTGACAAACATGCGCCGCGCAAGTTGTACACGCGAAACAAAGTACATGTATGTAAAAAGTCGGCTAGTTATGTATTCATTGCAGTATAATGTATCGGAAAATAGCACTTCCTTCTGGAGGTTAGTACTCCTTTATTGCTATGGAATTATGTAAAATAAAGAGATTTCATCTACTGTCTCCTGTATGCATACCTTCTCCGGGCACCACCAAACCTGGGAGGAGAAGGCCGTCCCCAGCGCGGCGGCATGGGCGGGCGGCGCGGCGGGCTGGGACGGCGCCGGGGACGGGCAGGCAGCACCATGGCTGCCGTCACCTCCTGACCATCTATTTGTCCTACAAAAAACAAGGACGGGGTGAAAAAACACCTAGGCGACATGATATTTTCACCACATAAGTTACAAATTCATGAAACATCTTCAGGAAGTTTTCCTCCTTCAACAAAGATACAAAATTACGTTTTGCATATTGACTTTAATACTGTCCATCAAAAAAAAATTCAAGCCCTCATCACACCTTTACCAAATGAGATCCATGACTGATTTATTGAACATGTACATGTTTTTCATCAAGAAAATGAAGTTTCAGGGTACTAAGCAGAAAGAAAATAGACTTTTTGCAGCCTATGATCCACTGCTCACATGATATCTGAGTGTATAATGTGATGGAAGCAGTGGATCGCTTTTTTCTTGACAAAGACCAGATTTGTACAGTCAAAAATTTGGGTAAGTCCAATTTCTTGTGTTGGAAATTACAGTTTAAACTTGCTTCATAATAACTGATTTTGTAGACAACAGTGAACTGGTTGTGAGGTCCCACCTCCATCCATGTGTTTCATGGCTTTCTCAGCATCCTCGGCATCTTCAAAGTCGATGTAGGCAAAGCCTTTAGACAGGTGAGCGTTGACTCTGTCCACAGGCAGTTCTACTGTCTTCACCTGGAGGGGAGAGGCATCGGTAAGTCAGCTTTATTCTTGATTGGATTTTATTGAGATTGCAACATTTCAATACATGCAGAACAGAGGCAGCTGTTGCTGGTGTTGTGTCCCACACATAGAAACAAATACTGGACAGACAATACACATTTTCACTTGAGTCTAGTGGGGAAAGTCGTGTAAAGTGCCTTTCCCAAGGGCACAAGATCAGTGGCATGTCAGGACTCGAACCCGGGACCTCTTCATTCCAAGTCGCGCACGCTGCCGTTGTGCCACACGACCCCACAGCTATACAATGTGGAAGTGATCCTAACTTAGGTTTAGCTCAATCACCAGTTTGGAGCTATAGTCAAACTTGCCCAAATAACAACCTCTTAGAGTCTATAAGCCAGCCATATGGTCATAATGACCACTTTTTATTGATACCAATTTTTCTCCCATAGATGTAAGCATTAAGGGACTTGCCTAAGCCGACCACTTGTCCTTACTTGACAGAAGCGGCCAGTTTGCCCTTGATTTTGACAGCATGGCAGTCTTAGTGCAATGTAAAATGGCACTGGCTGGGTCACTTTGGATCAGTGGGGTAGTCTATATTATTGTAAAACAGGTGAAAATTTTGCTGCAGTTGTTGCCATGTTTTTGTGTAAGTAGACCACTTGTCTAAAGTAACTTGTTTGACTGTATTGTTCGACTGGCGGTGACAGAGAGGACAGATGTACATGTCCAGTATTTACAGCTTCATTGGCCTGGGGAAATTTCCCCATTTTTGGCAAGTGCAAAGAACAGTAACTGTTTAATTTTCCATCATGAGGGCCAAACTTTTTTTGCAACATCTATGGGAAAATTGGAATGAAAATACTTCTAGCTGTATTATGTGCACCTACACTCAGTGTTGTGCAGTTAGAACATTTAATTTACTTTAAACATTTTACCTGCACAACTCATTGTCTTTGCTGCGGTACAAGAGAGTGCATCATTAATACACACTAAGTTCTGCCCACCTTTCCATACACAGTAAAGATTTCCACCAGGTGGTCCTTGTTGACATTCCTGGTCAGGCGCCCGACGTGAAGTTTGGTAGGTTTGGGTGTCGGGCTGCGTTTGCGTACTCTACGTGGGGACCGTGACCTGCCAAAATAAACACAAAGTCATCAGTGCAATGTCATACTTCTGTGTTCACTTTATTGGTTCTTCAGGACAGTCCAAAATGGGAACAATTAAAGCTGTGATATATAACATTAAAAAAGTCAATTTTCTGGTCATTTCTTAATAAAGTAAGTTGAATCAACCCTACTCCATTGCAGTAAGTGCCATCACCTTATTAAGTTTTTTATCAAAATATTAAAAATTTTGTTGCAATAATGTTACATAATGCTCCTAAGAGATCAACATCAGGCTGGGAGGACAATCTGGATCCACCTGGGCTAACGTATCAGTAAAGTCTTGTGTGAATAAGGTCACGTTTGTGAACCGTAACTCTCGCGAGATCATGTTGTAAAGTGATTGGTCATTAATTATCCTGATGAAGGCGACAGTGGTCGCTGAAAATTTGATATCACTGTAAATTGTGTGTTGGAATGAAGTTCAATGTTCTACTATAGAACTTTCCCCTCACTCTAGTCCAACAAACTACTGCTCTGTATATTCTTACTCAAAGTTAGTCAAACACTCAACACAACCAGCCCCTCACACTTGCTACATAATGTAATCCCATAATGTAACACAACAGGGTATCTGCTACAGGACTAGTTACCATGATGACAGATGTCTGGTCCAGGTCATTGACCTTATGTGTTTGGACAACAACTGAAGAAAAAACTGAGCAAAAACAATGTTTCCTTCTGTGAAGGTAAACATAATACTTAAGTCAGGGAATCCAGTCCCCTAACTGATCTTGACTTGGACGTTGGAGTAAAACGTTTAACTTTATTCCAACACACAGTTTACAGAGAGATCAAATTTTCAGCGACCACTGTCACTTCATCAGGATAATTAATGACCAAAGTTAGAATACTGGACACTGAACAGGACTACTTTTTAAGAGACATTAAGGAGGCCATATATATCAGAGCACTTCAGGCTTCATTTAATAGAGATGGTGGATGATATAAACTCCCTGGCACTTTTGATCAATTGCTTCACGTCACATATCAGTAAAATCTCGTGTGAATAAGGCCACGTGTTTGTAAACCGTAACTCTCACAAGATCACGCAGTGAAGTGATTGGCCATTAATTATCCTGATGAAGGCAACAGTGGTCGCTGAAAATTTGATCTCTCTGTAAACTGTGTGTTGGAATAAAGATCGCGCTGGCGAATAAAATAAAAATCCGACCAAAAATAAGAATGCTACTAAACCACAGGAATACAAAGACAAAGCTGGTATTGTGAATTTGGGGCAGAACATAGCAACGAACATATACGACAGGCCGGCACATGCTGGCTTTTTGCAAAATTTATGAATCGGCACTGTACGTATGTACTGAGTTCTTGAGTCGTGGAGCTTCGGTAGCCTGGATGCCATCCTCCAGATTTACCACCGGCTCCGTATTGTCGCTATATAGCAATTGCAAGCTACCATGAACTACCCAGGCCTAAAGCCAGGCCAGAGCCTCGGATGACGTGATTTTTTTTTTTTTTTGAGAACAGTCGAAAATCAATGCATATGCGGATGTCATCCATAAAATTAAGTCAGTGTGGCCTAACTACCAACACAGATGAAGTTTCATGCTGACCTTGACTTGGTTTTCCTGCGGGAGACCTTCTCGACGCGCTGCTGTCCGCGTGTGCGGCTGCGTGAGGAGGAGGAGGAGGAGCTGCCGCTGGAGGAGGAGGAGCTGGAGCGGGACCTGGAGCCGCTGGAGGAACCACTGGAGCTGCCCGACGAGCTGGAGCCAGAACTGGAGCCACTGCTGCTGCGGGAACTACCGGAACTAAACACAACAATGGAATGATTGTTTTCCAGTTTTATTCTATTTTCATATAAAGAGTAGTAAAATGAGCATGGGCAAAACAAAAGAGTATAAAACTAGAAAGGTAACATTTGCAAGGCTCAAACACGTTAATATATATGGTCAGACAGGAGTATAAATCCCTCCTACTATAAAATTGCAACATTATGTAACACAACACCAATTACCATGGTGAGAGACATCAAGAAATCAGGTAAGAGGTCAGTATTTGGAACAGAAGAAGAAGAAAAGGAAACACAATGTTTTCCTTTGGTAAATATAATGAATGAATGAAAGGTTTACTGATCAAACAAGCACATTGCAACCACAAGATAAATTCCATACTTGTTTTACAAATGGTACTGAAAAACAAACTTAAATATCATAAACTTTAGCTGGTAATGCTTTGGCATTTGCCAACATAAAATTGACTGTGGCTGACGTCGTCTGTAAGATTGAGACAAATTGCCTGGAAAAAAGAAAGTTCATACAGGATGGTCAATGGAAAGACTGAAACAGTGAAAGAGAAGGGGGTGAAACGGGGTGACGGAGGAAGGGTTCATTTTCGTGGAGAAAGAAGGATTGCACCCAGTGTTTCCGCCAGAGGGCCGTCCACCCGTCATATGACGGCCTGGTGTCGTTTTGGACGGCCTGAACTCGGACAGAGGCCGTCCTCTTAAAAAATTTCGAGACTCGGAAAAATCAAAAAATGACAGTCTTTGTTTTGTTGCTGTAGACGGGGACGCCGTCCAAGGCAAGAAAGACACACGTTGTTTGTTTTGCTATTGTTATCATGCTGACGAACAATTGATGTCGGCGCCTTTCGCATACGTTAATCTCATTAAAACCCGTTTTTCAAGTCTCCATCCGGTAAAATGTATCCACAAACATTTTTCCTCGAACAGAATCATTTCGGATGTGAAAATTCTCTTTTGGGAGTTACGGTTTTTGATGGTCTTGTAGCGGGCGGGTTGCATGAAAATCCACGCCGCAGTTCGCTATCCACGCGGCCACGCCGCGGTTCGCTAACACTTCCGGCTTGCTTGAATACGCGAAAGGCACCACAAATCGGCATATGGATGCATACATTTTCCCAAAAAATCTTCATAATGAATTTCTTTAATGGAATGTTACTAATTAGCGGTAGAAACACCGTAGAAAGTAGCGTAGTGTAACTCTCTTCGCCAACAAACAAATTCTACAGCTATGCCGGCAAAGATGGCTCTATCCAATCAGAGCACAGGTCATATGAGGTCAACCAATCAGAGCGTAGAGTTCACGCTGCTACTTACATATTAATGACAAAATGGCGCGTATTTCCTTCTCCGGCGAGGTTGAGAATGTGCGCTGCAAGTTTATTTTTCCGGCGATTTTCTGACTTTTAACGCCGATTTTTCGCACGCTACGATCACGCTACCATTTGACACTGTACTGGAGACAACAGATGAGTGATCATTTTACAATCAAGGAGCATTTTTGTTGAATGAAACAGCAATGAAAGCTACGATACAGCCAATTATTTTTCAAAATTTGTCTCGTGTATGAGAGATAAGATGACGTTTCTTTACATGTTTTGATGTATTTTTGGCTTGATATTAACTAGTAATTCGTAGCGGAAATGTACGGAAGAAGCACGAGTACGAACGAAGCAAGGCTCTTCACTATTAAAAATCCGGCTAGCGCGGGCGCTACCGGAGGTTATAATTAAATGATGCCGATGTTTGGAGTTTTGCAGCAGAGTTTTGCAACAGTATAATTCTTTCCTGACGATACGTTTGCCATCTGTAACAGTGTTTTTATGTCAATACAAAAAAATGTGGAATGCTTGTGGACAGTTTCAACTTGTAAACAAGTGTAAACAAATGCCCCGCCCCCTCAGTTAATTTTCGCGACGTGTTCCCTAAGTTAACTAATTTTCGCGACCCGGCCCTTCCCAACTGGACGGCCTCTCAGCTGCAGTCTGGCGGAAACACTGATTGCACCGCAACTTAAGACCGGTGTCTTTACAAGTTATGGACTTAAATTGTTACTGGACTTATTGGAGGGAGAAGGACCTTAGTATCTGCCAGAGTCTTTGCTTCTCTGACGTCAAAGAAGAAGAAGAAATCTGTTTGTTCTTGCACACATTTCTATGTTCTACTTCTCTTTTTTCCTTGCTTTTTTAGTTTAAAATACTTGTATTTACCTGCTGGAGCCACTGCTGCTACTGCTGCTGCTCCTGTTGCGTTTCCTGACCCGAGGACGACCGCGTTCCTTCGTCTTCCCTTTAGTCTTCTCCTTCACCGCCTCCTTCTCATTCTTCTCTGTCTTACTGCTGGCTCCCTCACGCTCCTTACTTTTACTCTTTGCCCTAAAACAGACAAGGCAAACAGAACATGTGAATGTGATCTCGAACCAGTTTAGCTCATTGAAGAGCTAATCTAAGAAATCCACTGGTCATGACAGACACTATGTACACAGTATTTACAAGTTCATTGTACCGGGGAAATTCCCCTAGCTCTTTTCAACAAGCACAATGAACAGTGAACCACGGCTTAACGTCCCGTCCTAAGGACTGCGACCCTAAACAGTAGAGTACAGGGATTTTTCTAAACAGGGGAATAAGGGAGCTGCTCCCTCATGTAACCAGCCAGCTCCCTCATGTCAATTTTCAGATAGAACCCTAAGTGGCTACTTACACACCATTTAGTCTTTCTCAAAATTATCTTTTTCCAGTAAAGATGTAAAAACAATACAATAGTGCAATCTAGCATTACAAACTGTGTTACTCTGTTAAAAAAAATTCCCCCCTTGGTCACATAACTCCCTCGCCATGCTTGCGATCTGCTCCCTCATGCTAAATTTTTCTACAAAAACCCCTGGAGTAGCACACATCACCATGTCGGGTTAGTGACAACAGCTGGGATTCGAACTCCCAACCTCTTAGTTTAGAGGCAGGATTGCTAACCACTGTACTATGCAGTACGCTAAGTACATGTACAAGTGCTTGTCAGTTTAGAAAAAAATCCTGAATAATCAGTATGACTGCCCTTTGTCATAACACACCCTTACACTAGCCTCCTTCGCAGTCTTGTTGGGCGTGGGCGTAATTTTTTCTCTGAGCGACGCTAGTAATATGCCGCCGCGAAGGACGATTTGCTGCCGAGGGACTTTTGCCACGGAGAGAAGGTTTCCGCGCTCCAACAAGACTGCTTCCAATCGGCGAGTTAAAAGGGCTATCAAAAAACACTTAGGAGCGATTGGCATGGATGTGTGAACTTCCCGCAATAAACGCCACCAGTGCAGGGTGGTGTTCACGCCCCGTTGATCGACGAGCCAAAACTTGTAACTTTCCAGCGGTCGCCGATCAACCCGTCGGTAGAACGCCAACCATTCCCGAAAATCGAGCCCTATCCACTCAACAAAATCCCGGAGACATTGCTGCTACGAAAAACAACTTTGAACAAATCACTACCACAGGAACCCGCAAGCTAAACTGTGATATTGCTGGGGGACGTCGACAGATAAACAAAGTGCCGCCATGTTGTTTGGTGGCGGGTTGATCTCACTGACCATGGGAGGGTAACACACCGCTCCGCAGCAAGTTGCGTAATAGAAAGAATTGCACATTTCACCAGCAAAAATAGTACTGCAAATTGTCTTGGTTTGTTCGCATGGGACGCTTAAATATGCACAGCAATGCCTTTGTTGTAACATTACCAATGTTCTCTGTTGGAACCTTCGACTATAATGTAACGCAAGCTAATAAAACCAACCGTTGACAAAGGCGAGCGCGTGTCATGCGTATCTATGAATTACCCTTGCGCGAACATGTGAATTGGGCCTGCGCGAACATGTGAATTGCCCCTGCACGAACATGTTAATAGCCTCTATGAAAGGCTGGCTTAATCCGAGGTCCTTTTAACTCGCCGATTGGAACGAAGCAGTCTTGTTGGAGCGCGAAACCTTCTCTCCGTGGCAAAAGTCCCTCGGCAGCAAATCGTCCCTCACGGGGGCATATTAGTAGCGTCGCTCAGAGAAAAAAATTACGCCCACGCCCAACAAGACTGCGAAGGAGGCTACCCTTATACCAAATTAACCTTTGCACATCTGAAGTTCTGCAAGAGTTGTTTAAAACTATATAAGTTACATGTAGTAATAATGCCACAAATGCCACTCTCAGCTTGTTCTAGGAAAGTACTAGTTTTTTAGCACCTCAATCCTTGGTTGATAATTATTCTGGTACTTAAGTTATTGAGGTATTCTTGAGCTGGTATTTGGTACTTACTTAAGTAGTTGGTACATCCATCACACAGTTAAGTGTTTATAAGTCATTTTGTACATCGTACATTGTCTGGACATTTTTCTTAAAGTAACATTCATAATTTGTTCCACTTCATTTGCATGACACTTGCACCCCTTTCTACCCAGTAAATATCATGGGGGAGGGGGGCACACACAAATCATGTGGTAGTACTAGTATCTGTGGTTTTACATTATTTGAATACAGCTTCTTTCAAATGAACTGCAGCGTTGGGCATGTCAATCACCACAAAATCCCCTACCTTCCGTTCATAATTTTTCGCAGGAGATAATTTTTTTTTTCAGACACCAAAAAATAATTTCCTCTCCACCCTTTACGGTTTACCTACAAAAAGCAGTTAATGCACAACACATGGCTATCTACGTGCTACCATACTATAGACAAGTACCGTAGCACGCCTTCACACCATTGAAAAACTCTGCACTTAACCTTATAACCACATTTATACGAAGAAAACTGCACGTTTGACTTACATTATTTTTCCCACAAAAGCCACGCTAGTCGGAGATTAAGCGCAATGCACTGTGGGTAGTGTAGATGCCGGGGGAAGATCGTAATGTTAGATAGGGGGGTCATTGCAAACTTAAATATATACAGTACAAGTCATGTACTTTATGATAATATTCAGATAGTAAAACAGAGTAAATTTTAAAAATGCCAAATGAATATTGCATTAATATAACTGAAACTCTGTTTTTGCAATTTTACTTACCAATTAAATATATCCTCCCTTCACGCTGTTATAGTGGGTTCGTCCTGCATTATCTCCAAGTAGATGTTGGGTGCGTCTTTGTTTTACACATGTTTTGCAGTATTTTGTTTTTGGTTTACTTTTAGTAGTTCGCATTTTCATCTCTTCACTTCGCGGACAACAAAATGCATTGCATATTTGTCCATACGGGCCACCGTACGATAAAAAAGAAAAAAAAACGTTGACCTGCCTGACATCTGCTTGGAAATTGGTCTATCAGATTTCAACTTTGGGCTGTTACAGAAAATAGCTCGGGAGGGGGGAAGAGGATCGATTGGAAGTAGGAAGGGTTTGAAGATTTTTGAACAAGGAACTAGGAAGGGTTTGAGCAATTTTAGACAAAAAACTAGGGGAGGGGGGTCAGCAAAACCTGGATTGGAACTAGGGTACTATCTAAGTTGATTTTTTTTTACCTCCACCACCCCCCTAAATATTCATTTTTGGAACAGCCCATTGGTGCGAGACCAGGTCAGAGGGTATGACTTTTTCTTAGCTGAAAAATGGGAGGGTCTAGGGTGGAATTCTCTCCAAGTTCTCCCTGAATTCTGCCTGACAAGTTCCGCCTTGTACCATGGCGAACCTAAAGGAGGTCCGTGACCGTGTGATGGGCAGTATGGGCCGGACCATGTTCACACATGTAGCGGAGGGACCCATCAACGCCTTGAGTACCTGCAGGGACGGCTCCCAAGTCGTCTTAGCGGGCCGAAACGTCTTCAAGATATACGGCATCGAGGATGAAGAGTTTCTAGAGAGAGCAAATCTGAGAGTCGGCAGGAAGCTGTCACTGAACTTCAGGTAGGATCTGGAGTATCTTACTATGACTGTCTACCATAACTGATTTATTTCTGGCTTGTCTGTCGGCCTGTCACTTATGTGTGTGTTTTAACTTTTATATGATACCGTACATATGTGTTTTTGTGTACACGCGGGCGCGCGCGCGTGCGTGATGTGTGTGTGTGTGTGTGCATGCATGTATGTCCTTTGTGTGTGTGCATGTGAGTGTATGCCATGGTGTGTGCCAGCCCGCGTGTGTGTCCGCATGTGTGCCCGCCTGTATGTGCTCTTGTTTGTGTGCACGCATGTGTGTGCATGTGTGTGTGTGCCTGTGTGTGTGTGTGTATGCCCACGTGTGTGCTCTTACTAGTATGTGTGTGTGCCCAGTGTGTTTGCATGTGTATGCGTGCCTGTGTGTGTGTGCCCGAGTGAGTGCTCTTATGTGTGTGTGCCCACGTGTGTGTGCCCGTGTGTGTTCTCTCGTGTGTGTGTGCCCACATGTATGTGTGTGTGTGCATGTGTGTATGTGTGTGTGTATGAGTGTATGTGTGTGTGTTTGTGTGTGTGTGTTTGTGTGTGTGTTTTTAAAGTGTCACTGTCAGCGATTCATATATCATTGTGGCAATCTAGAGGTCACCATGAAAAACACCCCTGCCAATATTTTGAAAGATACGTAGTGTTAACATTAGTTGAACACTCAGAGTCAGAGTCTACATTACCAAACTACATTTTGTGTATCCTGCAGCTGTGCAGATGTAGCCTGGCACCAGCTGGATGACAACCTCCTGGCGACTGCAGCTACAAACGGGGCGGTCATCACCTGGAACCTCAGCAAGAGTTCCCGCTCCAAACAGGACCAAGTCTTCACCGAGCACAAACGCACAGTCAATAAGGTACCTGTGGGGAAGGATATAGGTTGACTTCTTTGGTACAATATTAAATATCCATGAATGTTTGCACCACCCAGTGGTCTTCATAACTTTTGATTCACTTCTATATGAATTAAACTTTAAAGACCAAATGACACCAAAAAAGTCTGTAAAATACATAACATGTACAAAAGTATACATACAATATAGTCACATGAAGTTGGTCCAATCATGATGACTGAGAAATTGAGTTTGTACAGCCTTCCAAAGGTCAATTTTGGGATCCGGAGACTCTCCAGCAAGTTTACCAATCGCCCTCCTTGGGCATCTCTATTTGCATGTTTATGTTTTATTTTTGAATTTCTGTGCTTTTTTCTGAGCTGACATCGCGGGGTGCGTGACATCAGCTCAGGAAAAAATATAGAAATACAAATTAAAAAGGTAGAGATGCAAATCGTCTGCCAGGACTGGCTTGTGCCGACTCACCCGCGGATCCAGAGGGGGGGGCGGCGTGCTAGTAAATGTCAATATCCGACAGATTTCCTCATTTGGAATTGTATTTGAATTGTATTGAACTCTTTTACCCTGTCTGCTTGTTTGCAGGTATGTTTCCACCCGACAGAGCTGCATGTGTTACTGAGCGGTTCCCAGGACGGTACAGTCAAACTGTTTGACCTGCGTAAGAAGGAGAGTGCGAGTACCTTCCACGGCAGGTCAGAGAGCGTCAGGGACGTGCAGTTTAACCCTCACAGGTACTCATGGAATAACTTACTGTTAAGACAACTTACTGTTAAGACTCTTTGGCAACATTATTCTTTTGTAAGGTTCTATTATTAAGTTGTCATTCAATGTAATTTCAGGGTGGCAAAACAATAAAAATACTCTGGATGTAGAAATCTGTCTGATCAAGGGTCTGATATTGACATTTACTGCCATCTGTTTACACACTAAATGAAATGTTTGCACTACTACATGTACTACTACAGTTTGTACATTGTATTTGCACACTAAATGAAATTCATCATCATTTCATACTTGAAGCATTTGAAATAGCATCAAAACATGAGCTACTGTAGGTGTCTTTTTATTTAGTATGCCTACTAGTAAGTTAGTACAATGCAAAAAAAGCAAATCAGTGATGACGCATTTGCCTCACACTTGAGTCACAGATAAAAAATTTACAAAATTTAAATGTACATGTCTTTTTATTCTTCTCTCTTGTTGTTGAAGTTACACACACTAACTTATCATGACTTTTATATGATCAAATAATTTGAAGAACATGACATTGTAGATGTTATATATTGTCATTTTCCAGTACTACATTGTAGTGTCTTCCAGGTTCCCTGTCTGTGTTCCCAGTTTCCTGTTACCCTTTTTCCATTTTCCATTTCTCTTTCACACTTTTTGGTAGCAGCACATGAGGCTACTCTCATCTGCCGAATAAACATACCCCCCGGAATAAACATACCCCCCGGAATAAACATACCCCCCGGAATAAACATACCCCCCGGAATAAACGTACCCCCCCGGACAAATCTTCAAAATCAAATAAACATACCCCTGGAATAAACGTACCCCCCGGAAAATTACCAAAATTGACGGGTAACCTGTGTCTCTTGTACTAAAATGCGCCCTTACTGATATATGCACAAATCTTTAACTGTTATTTGCAATTAGGAATTTAAATAGACAAAAAAAGAGCATTAAATATTTCGTATTTTGATAAGCACCACCCATGACAATAGAACATTCAGACGAATTTATGCACGCGGTGATTGCAAAAACCGGCCCGAAAATGACAAGTTTCTCGCTACAATACGAATTTATAAACGTCTTCACGTCGATGATTTGTCCATTTTTTTCACACGAAGTTGAAAAAAATTACTGGTTTTCAAAAAATTAATAAACGTACTGTGCAAAATAAGAACGTACTGGGTGGATGTTCGGGCCCAAAAAAATAAACGTACCCGTATCTTTATTCGGCGGATGAGAGTAAGCTTTTTACTACTGCTGCTTCTTTGTATTTCACTTCAACAGCTTTTGCTAAATGCAGTAAACAGGGACCTGGACAAAACTTAGATCTACATGTCAACTCAAATGTAGCCCAAATTCATGCTTGCTCTCATGAGTGCTTGTGGTATCCAGGCAACATTTACATAGCCTAGTGCACAGGTTTCTGTCAGAGGCTCATGCTCTGACTAGGATTGCAAGCATACACTTACAAGAATAGCACTGTGAAGTACATACATGTAGACTCAGGTACCCAGATTATTGGACAATATTGAAATGCAGCCCTTTTATCTTCGACTTACATGCATACGTTTGTTTTTTATTTATATTTATTTATTCATTACATATTCAAACTATTAGGTAGCGCCATTCAACTTTGCAGTTTGATATCTTCCGTATTCCCCACATTTCCATTATCATTTCCATTTCCATTATTATCAGGGCTGGAAATACTGGGTGCATGTGCACCTTAGTACACTTAAAATTGAAGCTGTGCACCCAATTTTTTTCTGTAGGTGCACTGGTGCACCCAAATATTTTTGTAGTTATTTTTGTACATATTAAATGTACACTGTATACATTGATACTGCATATTCTTGGCATCTAAGTGTCAGAAAATATTTGTTGTAGTCCCATTTCAGATTCAATAAATAAAAATAAATAAATAAAAAATTTCAGATTCAAGCTCAGAAGAGGAGCAGTTAGATCTGTAATTAGGTGTTGTTTTATATGGTGCACTCAAAAAATTTTGTGTGCACCTAAATTTTTAGGTTGAGTGCACCAGTGCACCTATTCCCAAAAATGAATTTCGAGCCCTGATGATTGTACATCATGTTGTGTACATGTATTTGTCTCCTACTGAACGACTGTTCTTCTTGTTTCCCTGCTTGTGTCTGTGCCTACCTCTGTGACAGTGTCATAAGGTACTATCTTCACTTGTTTGGCATGCGTCTTTAAAACTACGGTTAACCCAGTGTACGTCATTCCATGTTTTTCCATTGCCAAATGACAAAAAATTCACTCTGGAAACACACCATCGTTCCTTTCTTGACTTATCTGCCTTGAAAGATTTCGCCAGAAACTCCCCTGCAGTTCCTGAATGAGCTGCTAGGGGGACCAAACCCACACCACTTATTCCTGACATGAAAAGCTATCTGTCACCAAAAATCCAAGACCATAGCATGTTCACAAAAAAGATACAAAAACCAAACTTTCTGCTGCAGTACCACGGTCAACCACCGGGGGGCTCAAATTTGCCTTGACCTCTGTCTTCACAAGACCTACATGTAATCACATATCAAATATCATAACAATCTATACAGGCTTTTGTAAGTTATGTTGCCCACAAATATGCAGAAACACAGACAGACACACACACATTCAGGCACACCAAAAACAAAAACATGAAGTGGAAAACCCAAGAACCAAGGATTGGTTGGCCTAAAGTCAGCATTGCCTTAGTTCTTGTGAAATACAGTCTTCTGGTCTTTATCTTTTCCAACTTGACATACTAGTACCCATTTTTGTAGGATATTGTTGCACAAATGATTGTGTAAGGATTTTGACAGATCATATAACTTCTTGCCTCCTTCCAGGGACTACTACTTCTCTTTTGCATCTACTCATGAGAACGGCAACGTGCTACTCTGGGACCTGCGCCGACCAGACAAGGCGGAACGTTTCTTCACCGCGCACAGTGGCCCTGTCTTCTGCTGCGACTTCCACCCCGACGACAAATCGTGGCTGGCGACCGCCGGGAGGGACAAGGCCATCAAAGTGTGGGAAGTGGTGCCGTACAAGCAGATACAGGAGGTGCACTGTGTGCAGACTATCGCCTCGGTCGGCCGGATCAAATGGCGCCCACAGAGAAGGTACCATATAGCCAGCTGCTCCCTCCTGGTAGACTTCAGTATTAACATCTGGGACATTCGCAGACCGTACATCCCGTTTGCAGCCTTTGAGGAGCACAGAGACGTGACGACGGGGATCACGTGGCGCCAGGATCCACACATCTTTCTCTCGTGTTCCAAGGACTGCACCGTGTACCAGCACGTCTTCCGCGATGCCAAACGCCCGGCCGACCACGCTAACCCCATGGGACTGTGTTTTAACGTCAAAGGAGACATCTCCTTCGCCGCGAGCGAGGCTTTGGGCGGCGGAGGGAGGGGTAAGGGAGGGTCGGGAATGTACGCGTCCACTCGACTTCCGTCTTTCTTCCGCAAAAACCCTGACCCAACCGAACAGTTCCGTTCCGTCAACAGCAACCTGAGCGTCTTTACAAACAGGACCCAGGAGAACCCCACGGCTATGGACTGGTTTGTCAAGACGGCGGAAAACTACTGTTTAACCGGTCGGCCCTTGTCGGAACTTTGCGAACACAACGCACAAGTGGCGCGCCAACTGGGGCGGCACCAAATAGTGCAGACTTGGCTCATGCTGAAGCTCATATTTGCAGGATTGGGTACAGTAAGTGATAAAGGTGTTGTCACCAGTCCTAGTTTAGGTAGGATAGTGTCTCTGTCCACAACTGGTGGGCAGGGGGATCTACTAGACAGAGTATCACAGCATAACGAGACTTCGACAGTAACAGACATGCAGGAGGCTAAAAGTACAGAACCGCCCGGCATTACGAAGGAGAAAGATCCGTCAGAACCAGGCGAGGCTGAGCCTAAATCAGCTCTGCCACAGTCACAAGCCACAGACAACCCTGCACACGCAGACCTCACACACGTACACGGAGACTTCTTCTTCGGGGACGGAGAAGGGGGCGGAGCCTACAACGACTACGACAGCCTGCCCAACATGGACCACATCCAGGACTGGACCCTGCCCGGCGAGGCCTTCCAGCCGCGCCACGAGATCATCGACCGCAATCCCTCCCCGGAGGAGCTGGACCGCCCTGACTCCCCCACCAGCATCAACGAGTCGGAGACCGTCAGTCTGAGCAACGAGAAGTTCCTGAAGGGGACGGTTCTCAGTCCCACTCCCATGAACCCCTCCTTCCTGGACGTGCGGCTGATGTCCCCGCTGGTGGTGGACATGCTGCATCACTACGCTGAGCAGGGCGACGTACAGATGACTGTCTCTGTCATGATCGTACTGGGGGACCACCTGAAGGACCAGGTTTGTTTGTTTGTTTGTTTGTGCCTTTATACTCGATTATATATCGTAGGAACAATATATATCGCCCCATTCAGCCATGGCAGCCGCTTTTTGTGGGGGTCGAGTTGGGAGGACAGTCAAAGGGTCAAAAATTATAATAATTAATAAATATAATAGTAGTACAAGCAATTGTCGAGTTAAGAAAAAACAATAATACAAAGCATACAAGAAATGAATACGTAAATAAATAAATAACAATAACAAAACAGGTGGAGGAGCAGATCCAGGAACACTGGCTCATGTCGTACGTGGACATGCTGGGCTGCTTCAAGCTGTGGATGGTCGCCACGGAGATCATCAAACTCAGCTACCTGATCGGGGTACCGAGTGTGGGCACACTGAACCAGAACTCCACATCTATCCACTCTAACTGTAACCACTGCAGCAAGCCACTCACACAGAAGGGCTGGCTCTGTACAAGGTGTGTTTGTTTGTTTGTTTGTTTGTTTCACATCTATCCACTCTAACTGTAACCACTGCAGCAAGCCTCTCACTCAGAAGGGCTGGCTCTGTACAAGGTGTGTTTGTTTGTGTTGTTTGTTTGTTTCTTTGTTTGTGCTGACACATTATGTCAGCCTACACAAATTCAATTTCTTGGATATAACTTTTTAATGTTTATTTTCTTTTGATTAAAAAAACACCACATTGTCAAGAATGCAAACAATGTAATTATAGTAAACGCAGGACGACTAGACCGGATCTCATAGCTTGTTAACGTTAGACCGCAACATCTGTTATGTAATAGTATGTTTATCTGAAGTGTAACCGACACTGTTAACTGTTATACCTGTTCTGAATTGTTTATGTTCTTGTTGTGAGGGCTAGCCCTTTATAATAGCCTCCGGGCTCCGGCTAGTTGGGCAGTCCTGGCTGTATATATATGTCTTTCACCGCCTAATAAATCAAATTAAATCAAACGCTACATTACTAAATAGTACACACACGTACATGAATATGAAACTTACCGCAGACTTTTGTTGTCATTTTCTGTACAGATACATTGTATTACAAAAAAGTATCTGTACAGAAAATGAACTTGTATTACTGGTTTCTTTCTGTAGATATGAGATAATGGAGTATAGAAAACAAAAGTCTAGAATACAAAAGACTAGATAGGTAGCTCTTGCAAAGCAAATGCAGAATGTTTACCTTCACATAGAGTCTTGCCTAACAAACTACTCCTCTGTTTATTCTTGATCAAACACATTCATATACTAGTATATGGTCACACAAGTCCAAGGCTGTCCTTCTACTTGCAACATAATGTAATCCAACACCACAGTGTGTCTGCTACAGCACCAGTTACCATGGTGACAGCTTTCTGGTACAGGCAAGAAGCTTTCATCACGTGATGAAAGCTCCTTGGTACAGGTTATGATATTGATGTTATTTGTTTGGAGAAGAAGACAAAGAACAAGAAACAGCAAAAACATTATATCATACATTTCTTTCTGCAAAGGTAAACATAAATATCAGATTTCAAAAGCTGTTGTTTTTTTTTCTGTTGCAGATGTCAGAAGTTGGTGAACACGTGTTCTGTGTGTCACCACGTGGTGAAGGGTCTGTACGTGTGGTGTCAGGGCTGCAGTCATGGCGGTCACATCCACCACATCCAGGAGTGGCTCCGCACTAACCGGCAATGTCCAGCAGGCTGCGGCCACTGCTGCCAGTACACCTGACCAGCACAACACTGGACTGGAGATAGATATATAGAATACAACACGGTGTATTCCGTATCACCCGAGGTACCAGCCTGACCGTGGGTCGGATCACCCGAAGGCTGGAGGGAGATCCAATCCGCGGGAGGGCTGGGACCGAGGGTGATGCGGGATGCACCGAGAGTGGATACACCGAGGGTGATGTCATACCCACCCAAGAAAACATGCCTTTCAATGCAAAATGAGCGTCCCTAAACCCCAAAAATGAAACAACATCAATTCCAACATCCGAATTTTGTATTCAAAACCAGTGCACGCAGTTAGGGCGAAATGTGTTCGAATCGTTCTATGGAACATTTGGAAGCCCGGGGCACACGCGTAAAGAAGCCCAGGTCGTACCGTAAAGTATGTCCGGAACACCCGTATCGAACGTAATCGCGGCCCAGGTATGACATAAATATGAATATCACATGATGCAAGTTCATCTGTGTTGGTGCTGGTAGTAATCATATAGTACAAGTAAAACTTTATTCCAACACAAAGAGTACACGGTGATCACCTTCATCAGGATAATTAATACTAGTAACCAATCATGTGTCACGTGTCTGTAACTCTTAATCTTGAGAGATCACGTTGTGAAGTGATTGGTCGTTAATTATCATGATGAAGTCGACAGTGGTCATTGAAAATTTGATCCCTGTGTACTCTTTGTGTTTGAATAACATTGTACTACTGTATGGTTTATTTTGAAAGGCTCCTAACATTGTCTCAAACATGGCAGCCAATACAGCTGAATTTTGTCAAAACGTTACATTAGAATTAGAGACATTGGAGACAATTATAGATCATTTAAAACAGTATTTTCTGGGATCATATTAATTAAACAGAAAATGTACTTGTCGGAATATAAAATGAAAGCTAAAAGACTATCACAACAAGATTTAAAAAAAACATATCAACAAGATATTAAATCTCATCACAGTGAATTAATCAGTAATTCTTAGCCTAAATCATTACTGTATTTTCACATGGTCACATTAAGAATTTAAAAAATTTTAATTGATCGAGAAGGATATCAAAAAATAAGGATAGTTGCTACGTACTTGCAAGAAGTCTTCCTGGTAAAATTTCTGGTAAAATTTGTAACAACTTGTAGCATTGCCGTTAACAACTTTATTTGCAAAAACATGTCAGAAGGCTAATGGCTTTTACAAGGTCAAAGATAGCACAATACAATATTTAAGTGCAAATTTAAAGTATTCCAAGCCTTGCAACAGCAATTTGTGTAAAACTATTATTATCATATAGTACTGTAGTTCAAAGGTTTGGTTTTAGAATTCAAAGTATTGGCTCTGGTACCAGAGTATTATATATCAGTATTATCATCTGCCATGTTATACCACAATACACAGGCACTGTACAAATGTAATAAACACTTGACCAGCATAGCCAGGTCTAAGACTCAGAATTCACAGAATTTGGTGCTAGTTGGAGAACATTATTTTGTTTCGACCGTCCAAGTTAGCCTGGGTACCATCCATATCTGTTATCCTGCTTCAGTTTGAATGTCTGTGGTCCCAGATGGATTTTCTTAGCATATAGAGGAGTAAGGCCACAGCAAGTAAATTTTATGGATGACATCCTCCACAGACTAAATCTAATGCGAGCGGGGCCTACACTTAATTATTGTACAGATGGTTCTGATTCAGTGGGAACATCACATATACACAGCAAGTATCACATATCACTGCATCAAAGTAAGAAACAAAGCATTAAATCAGAGCCTTTTCTTGTCTCCTCTCTTTATAGTTATCTACCTTCCGGCATGGCAACAGACATCCTTGCCCATTTTCGGCATGTTGACCACTGCCAGAAGGCAACAAAATATCTCGTTTTTTTTCCAAAATCAGGCAAATATCAATGCGCGCTAATGTCATCCATAAAAATGACTTGCTGTGGCCTAACCTAACAAACACAGATTATAGAGACTAGTCATCTTCTTTGAAGTAGTAAAAATATAATGTTGAAGCAAAAGGTTGGAAAGTAAAAATCGCGATGTTATTAGGGATTTCCCTCGCATAAGACGTTAAATGGAGGCTGTTGCATCATTTTCTCATGATTTTTACCTTTAATCAAGTTGCTGTAATCAACCTATAATCATGGCAAGTATAAATTTGAATGGTACACAAACACCGCTTAGCGGTGGAGAGAAGAACTGCAGGACCAAAATTCACTGACACAGGGCAGAGGAGCGCCATGTGGTGAAATGCGCGTGCTCCCAGCAGATCAACTTTCAACTAGTCAACTTTAAACCTTCGTACAAAAATAAGGGGAAATGTGACGTCCCTCCAGAGAGACGTCAATGGAATAACCCGTATCCAAGCATTGGGCGTCCTTAGCAACAGCACAACGGTGCATGTTTTGCAGTTCCAGCCCAGTGCTAAACACCGGACATTTTTGTCCGCGGGGGACTGGGCGTGTCCGTGTTTAGAGGTAGACAGAACTAATTAGGCTTAAGAAGGTTTAGTATAGCTGCCTTTGTGTGTGGGAGAATAAAGACTGTCATTGTCACATGTCTGCAAACTTTACTATGAACACTATTCACCAAAACACGCATAAAATCTCTGGCTTATAGCTTTCCACAACGAGATGGCAGAGTTGGTACTTCACTGGTCACCAAAGGAAAAGCGGAGACGTGGTCGCCCTTCTTTAACTCTGAAGAAGGTGATAGAGGAGGACATAGGTCTGGGCGGTGCTGAACTGTCCTCTGTCATGCGTGACAGGAACTTGTGGAGACAGTACATGGTGTCACCTGAAGGATGAACTGAACTGAGCTTATGTAGCTTTCTGTAGTATTTTATTCTTCAAGATTATAACTTATTGGTACTAGTACTATAGCTCGTAAAAGTTTCACAGTGACTTTATTTTTTGCTGTGACTTCTTCAACGCGAAAATGGAATGACAACGCCAATATGTCTTGCATAGTTCATTCATTAGATCAACCACGAAATAAAAACAAGGAAAATCCCTATTTTTCTCCTACTGCAAAATAAAACTAGAGTTCCCCGATCTCATACCTTCGCCAAATGACTGACAAATTATAGATTAGATTATTCCCCCCTGATTTAAGAAATAGGAACCTAATTTTCATGAATTATATCATTTTATCATAATCTCAACCAAAAGACAGTCTTATATAAACAAACAAGGCATTCTAGTATTTCCTAATGAATTATGCAAATGAGGTCCTGATTTGAATAAATTATGTTTAATGATGTTCACCTCAACTTAACTTTCAAATTAATTATGCAAATTAAGTCATTATTAACATAATCAATATCTGCCTGTGTTTCTCTCGTTGTCAATTACCAATGTCACAAGCTTCAATTGTCTTATTATGGAATGCAGCTGATTTATAGAATTTCCTCATAAATTATGCAAATTACATCCATATTTGCATAATTGTCACATAATTATATTAAGCATCACGTAAGCTACCTACATACCAAAAATCACGACGATCCGTCAACCGGTTATTGAGTTATCCTCTTTTGAATATTTACCTTCGCCAAGAAGGTTATGTTTTCAGGGGCGTTCGTGTATGTGTGTGTGTGTGTGTCTGTCTGTCAACACGATAACTTGAAAAGGCCTTGATGGATTGTCTTGATACTTGGTAGATGGGTAGGTCTTGATGAGACCTCAAAATGATTAGATTTTGGACCCCCTAGCGGCTTGCTATGGTACTGCAGCTGAACTTCCGGTTTTGTTATCTCAAGATCCAGACATGCTATGGTAATGAAATTTGGATGGTGGGTAGCTCTTGTGCTGGGGAAGAAGTGACGTGAGTTTAGGCCCCCTAGCGGCTTGCTCTAGAACTGCAGGGGGGTTTAAAGGACAAATGTTTAAAAGAGGATAACTCAAGAACCGATTGATGGATCATCGTGATTTTTGGTATGTAGGTAGCTTAAGTGATGCCTGACATGATGATATTACAATTATGCGAATATTGATGTAATTTTGTATAATTAATGAGGAAAATTCTATAAATCAGCTGCATTCCATGATAGG